TTTGACTGGGCTGAGCGGGAACTATGTTTCCCGCGGGGTTTGGGGAAAGCCAGCGGGCCAAGGGGGATGAACGAGGGGCCCTCTTTTTGGGTGTAGGGACTGATCAGCCTAAAGGAGGATGTGCCTTTCCCCCTCACATTCCGTGGGCCAACACCATGGCCCTTGTAAGTGCGACTTCAACTGGAAGCCAGGGAGTGTGGGGAGGAGGGGGGTGCCCGTGAGAGAATTTGGGGAAAGGGTTTGAACACCAAGGGGCCTGCGGCATTCGGGAAATGAGTTTGGGGGGGTTTTAATGGCACAGGCAGGGAGCCCAGCCAAAATTTTAAAAAGGGGGGAAAAAAGTGCCCGGATTAGGAACCTTTTCCCCCTTTTTTTGGGGGGTTTCCCCCTTTTTAAAAAAAACCCCCCGGGGGGGGTTTTTTGGGGGGGGGGCCCGGGGGGGGTTTTTTTTCCCCCCCCAAAAATTTTTAAAAATTTTTCCCATTTCCCCCGGGGGGGGCCCCCCAAAAACCCCCCCTTTCCTTTTTTTTTTTTTCCCCCTTTTTTTCCCCCGGGCCGGGGGGGGGAAAAAAAAAAAAAATTTTTTTCCCCTTTTAAAAAGGGGGGGGGGGGGAAAAAAAAAATTTTGTTGGGGGAAAAGGGGGGAAAAAAACCCCCCTGGGGGGAAAGGGGGGGGGGGGGCCCTTCCCCACCCCGGGGGGGGGGTTTGGGGGGGGGCCCCCCCCCGGGGGGGGGGAAAAGGGGGGGAAAAATTTGGGAAAAAAAACGGAAAAAAAAAAGGAAAAAATTTTTGCTTTTTTGGGGGGGGCCGGGGAAAAAAAAGGGCCCCTTTTAACCCCCTTTTTTTGGGGGGGGGGTTTTTTTGGGGGAAAAGGGTTTGGGGGGGGAAAAAGGAAAGGGTTTTTTTTTAAAAAAAAAAAAGGGCTGGTTTTTTTTTAAAAAGGGGGGGTTTTTTTTTGGGGGGGAAAGGGGGGGGGCCCCCCAAAAAAGGGGAAGGGTTTGGGGTTTAAAGGGGGGGGGAAAATTCCGGGGGGGGGGGAAGGGGGGGGGGGGGGGGCCCCCCCCCCCCCCCCCCCTTTTTTTAAAGGGGGAAAAAAGGAAAAGGGGGGAAAAAAGGGAAAAAAAAATTTTTTAAAAACCCGGGGTTTTTTTCCCCCCAAAAAAAGGGGTTTTTTTCCCCAAAAGGGGGGGGGGGGGGGGGGGGGGGGGGGGGGGGGGGGGGGGGTTTGGGGGGGGGGGGGGGGGTTTTTGGGGGGGGGTTTTTTTTTTGGGGGGGGGGGGTGGTGGTGGGGGGGGGTTTTTTTTTTTTGGGGGGGGGGGGTTCCCCCTTTTCCCCCCCCTTTTTAAAAAAACCCCCCCCCAAAAAAAATAAAAAATTGGAAGGGGGGGAAAGGGGCCGGCCGCCGGGAGGTTTTTAAAAATTTTAAAAAAAAAGGGGTTTTGGGGGGGGGGAAGGGAAAACAGGGGGGGGGGGGGAGGCCCCCCGGGGGGGGGGGGGGGGGGAAAAGGGGGAGAAAGGGAAGGGGGAAAAAATCCTTTTTTTGGGGGGGTTTGGGGGGGAAAAAAAGGATAAAAAAGGGGGGGGGGAAAGGGGGGGGAAGGGGGGGAAAACCCCTTGGGAAAAAAAGGGAAATTTTGGGGGGGAGGGGGGGGAAAAAAAGGGGGGGGAAAAAGGGGGTTTGGGAAAAAGGGGGAAAAAAAAAAAAAAGGGGGAAGGGAAAAACCCCCCGGGGGGGGGGGGGGAAAAAAAGGGGAAAAAAAAAAAACCCCGGGGGGGGGAAAAAAAAAGGGTTTGGGGGGGTTTTTTAAAAGGAAAAAGGGGGGGAAAAAAAAAACCCCCGGGGGGGGGGGGAAAAAAAAAAATTAAGGGGGTTTCCGGGGGGCCAAAAAAAAAGGGGGGGGGGAAATTTTTGGGGGAATTTTTGGGGGGGCCCCCCAAGGGGGGAAATTTGGGGGGAAAAACCCCGGCCAAGGGGAAAACCAAAAAAGGTTTTTAATTTTTTTTGGGGGGGGGAAAATTTGGGGGGGGGCCCCCTGGTTTTGGGGGTTTTTTTTGGGGAAAAAAAAGGGGAAAAAAGGGGGGGAAAAAAAGGGGTTTTTTTAAAAAAAAAAAAAAAAAAGGGGGAGGGGGTTCCCCCCTTTAAAAAATTTAAAATTTAAAACCCCCCCCCAAAAAAAAAAAAACCCCTTTAAAACCCAAAAAAAACCCCCCCCAAAAAAACCCCCCCCAAAAAAAACCCCCCCCCCAAAAAAAAAAAAACCCCTTAAAGGGTTTTTTAAAAAAAAAACCCCCCAGGAAAAAAAATTTTTTTTTTGGGGGGGAAAAAACCCCCCCCCCGGGGGGGGCCCCCCCCTTTTTCCCCTAATTTCCCCAAAAACCACCTGGTTTCCCCAAAAAAAACCCTTTTCCCCAACCCGGGGAAAACCCCAAAAAATTAACAGTCCCCTTCCCTTTTTCCCCAATTTTTTTAAAATTTTAAAAAAAAACCCCCCTTTTTAAAAAAACCCCCCCCAAGGAAAAACCCCCCCCTTTTAAAGTTCCCCCCCCCTTTTTCCCCCGGGTTTTTTTTTAAAAAAAAAATTTTTTTCCCCCCCCTTTTTTAAAAAAACCCCCCGGGGGGGGAAAACCCCCCTTTTTTTGTTTTTTCCCCCTTTTTTTTTTTGGGTTTTGGGGAAAATTCCTTTTTAAAACCCCCCCTTTTTTTTTTGGGAGAAAAGGGAAAAAAACCCCCCCCAAAGAAATTTTAAAAAGGGGCCCCTTTTTTTTTTAAAAAAAATTTTAAAAATTTTTTTAAAATTTTTTAAACCCCTTTTTTAGTTGGGGGGTTTTTTTTTTAATTTTCCCCCAAAATTTTTTTTTTCCCCGGTTGGTTGGTTAAACTTTTTTTTTAAAAAAAATTTAATTTAAAAATTTTTTTTTTTTTTTTTTTTTTTTTGGGTTTTTTTTTGGGAAAACCGGGTTTTTAAAAAATTTTTTTTTAAAAAAAAAATTTTTTTTTAAAAAGGGGGGGGTTTTTTTAAAAAAATTTAAATTTTTTAAAAATTTTTTTGTTTTTTTTTTTTAAAATTTAAAAAAAAAAAAATTTTTTCAAAAAATTTTTGGGGTTTTTTTCCCCCCCCCCAAAATTTTTTGGGGGGAAAAAAATTTTTTTTTTTTTTTTTTTAATTTTAAAAAAAGGCTTTTTTTTTCGGGGGTTTAATTTGGGGGGTTAAAGGGGGGGGGAAAAGGGGGAAAAAATTTTTGGGGTTTGGGGGTGGGTTTTTTTTGGTTTTAAAAAATTTTTTTTTTTTTTTTTAAAAAATTTTGGGGGGGGCGGGTTTTTGGGTTGGTTTTTTGGGAAAAAATTTTTTGGGGGAAGGGGTTTGGGGGGGGGGTTTTTGGGTTAGGGGGTTTGGGGGGGGGGTTTTTTTTTGGGGGGGGGGGGGGGGGGGGGTTTTTGGGAAGGGGGGGGGGGGGGTTTTTTTTTTTTAAAAGGGGGAAAAAAAAAAAAAATAAAAGGGGGGGTTTTTGGGTAAAAGGGGGAAAAAGGGTAATTTTTTTGGGGGGGAAAAGGGGGGGGGTTTGGGGGGGGGGGGTTTTGGAAGGTTTGGGGGCCCCCCCCAAAACCCCCTTTAAAATTTTTTATTTGGGGTTTTGGTTTTTTTAAAAAAAAAAAGGGGGGGGTTTTTTTGGGTTTAAAATTTTGGGGAAAAAAGGGGGGGTTTTGGTTTTTTTTTTTTTTTTTTTTTTTTAAAAAAAGGGGTTTTTTTTTTTAAAAAAACCCCCAAAATTTTTTTTTTTCCCAAAAAAAACCCCTTTTCCCCAAATTTTTTGGGGGGGGAAAAAACCCTTTTAAAAAACAGTTTTTTTTGAATTTTTTTTTAACCAACCCGGGAATTTTAACAAAACCCAAAAATTTTTTTTTTTTTTTTTTTTAAACCCCCAAAAAAAAAAAACCCCCCAAAATTTTTTTTTCTTTTTTTTTTTTCCCCCCCAAAATTTTTGGGGTTTTTTTTTAAATTTTGGGGGGTTTTTTTTTTTTTAAATTTTTTTCCCCCCAGGAAAAAAAAAAATTTTTTTTAAAAATTTTAAAAAACCCCCTTAAAGGTTTTTCCCCCGGGTTTTTTCCCCCCCCTTTGGGGGGTTTTAATTTTTAAAAAAAAACAATTTTTTTAATTCCCCCCAAAAAAAATTTTTTTTTTTTTTGGGGGGTTTTTCCCCTTTTAAAAAATTTAAAAAATTTTTTTTTTTTTTCCCCCATGGGATAAGGTAATTTAGGGTTGAGGCTTAAGGTTAGGGTTGACCTGGGGTGTACATTTTAATCTGCTGTGAAGGAACAATTTTTGTTTAAATATTATAAATTACACTCCCCAAAGCATGTGCTTACTTTAAGTTTTTACTGTATATAATGCATACAGTATACACATTTTTGGGGGAAACTTATAAATTATACATTTTGAACAAATACAATATAAGGACATATAATGTATAGAGTCTATTATTATTTTTACCAGAGCCTTGTATGACTTTCCAACAAAACCCTTAAACCCAGTTTACTTTTTTACAAAGCTAAAATTGGCCTTGTGAGCTGGCCCAAAGCTGTGTTTGTCGACTTCTCCAAGAGAACACCAATGTGTAAAACCACACAGCTGTGTTGCAGCCCTTTTTGAGGTCAAGATACAGTCTGAACTGCAGAGATACTTTCGCTCCAAACTGTCATTGTAGCGTACTGTATATGTATCATTTCTTCTGTAAGACATTCAATCAAATCCAGACGGAAAGGAACCTGCACTTAAAAAGTACTGGGACAATTTAAAACATATATTTAGTTTTTTGCTGCTTTAGGGTCAATTTCATACCCACTCCATGATGGAAACTGCTGGTCCATAATGCTGACCTTGGTAGTGCAACTTTTGGCTCTGATTGGCTTTCTTTTGCCCAATCAAACAGCGGCACAGACGATTCTCATATAATAGGGGTGCAGATTAACCCCTTTCATCGACAGGATCATACAGCAACCATGATTTCTCTGTTTTTTGTTCTGCTCATTGGAGCCGCTTGTGAGTCTAGTAATGATCATAGAAAAAGAACAGGACTGTTTATGACACTAACATCACACATTGACGTTATTAAGAAATATGTTTTTTGTTTTTGTTTTATCATAGTGCTATGCTTTTCCATCTCAAAAGGTGAGGTAAAAATAGCTAAGAATGTGCCTGCTCCTGTTTCTAGTTTGCACGGGGGACGCAAGATCGTCGGAGGGTATGAGTGCAAGGCCTACTCCAGCCCACCAGGTGTCTCTGAAGTTGGGTACCACTTTTTGTGGGGCTCCCTGGTCAACGAGAACTGGGTTGTGTCTGCTTTCTCACTGCTACAAGTCGTAAGTAGCCTACCATGTGAACTCTGCAACATATTGAGTCAAAAACAACTAGCAACAATTTGATAAGCTTACCTTTTGCAAAACTAAAGGGGACAAGAGAAAATCCACATTCACATGAACTGTCTCTCTGTCTCTTTCAGCCGTGTGGAGGTGCGTTGGGCGAGCACAACATCAGGTGACTGAGGGAGCGAGCAGTTCATCTCTTCCTCCCGTGTGATCCGTCACCCCAACTACAGCTCCTACAAAATGCGACAATGACATCATGCTGATCAAGCTGAGCAAGCCCGCCCCTCAACTCCTACGTGCAGCTGTTGCTCTGCCCACCAGCTTTTGCCCCCGCTGGCACCATGTGTACCGTCTCTGGATGGGGCAACACCATGAGCTCCAGTGAGTACAGAACCTGGGTCAAAGGTTACAGTGCCAGTTGGTCATCTTTATGGGACTGAGTGCGTTTACAGGCATTGAAAATGTAGGCCTACTGTTAAAAACCACAAATGTCAATTATATCTAACCATAACCCTCCTCCTTCTCTACCTTCTTCTCTTACCATACCTACCTCCTCTCTCTCTCTCTCTCCCCTCCCTCTTTTTCTCGTCTCCCCCCTCTCTCTCCCCTCTCTCCCTCTCTCTCTCCTCTCCCTCTCTCTCTTCTCTCCTCTCTCTCCTCTCTTCCTCCCTCTCTTTATTTCCTCCTCAGCTCTCACACCGCTTCTGCCTGAACATTCCCTCTTCCTTCAATACTTTACACCCTACCCCTGGGCCCCCCCCCCTTTTTTTCTTTTTTTTTTAAAAACACA